AAAAGGATATGAACGGCATTTTGACAAAACTTTGATCACATAAAGAGATGAATCTTAAAGGAAAGATCATTCTGACCATGAAAAGATCCAAATGCACTTTCAATTGAACTGATGGGCGGGGACAAAATCAACCATTTAAGTCAATGATGTCCTTGTTTTGTTAAAATAAAAAATAAATTCTAAAGTCAATCTGAAGTTAATATGAAGCTTCAGCAGTCTGAGTGAATCCAATCGAGTGGGTATATTACAAAGATACAGTCATTTTAGCATAAAATTCCATCTTCCTGTTTCCACGTAGAGCTGCAACGGAAGGATATTAACAAAAAGAGGGAATTTGTGCTGAAAATACTGTTACTTTGGAGCTCTGAACCCACCGGCCACCAGGTCATCGTCCGTCCTGCCAGGAAATATCCTCCTACTGTCCCACGATTGGTCCGAAACATGGACTAGAACACAGACAGGACAATTCAGTTATTGTCACGAACCAAATGCAATATTATGTATTTCTTGATGTGATATACATATCTTATTAAGTCATCATAATCTCCAGACAATTAAGGCAAACACGTGCACTCACCCAAATGCCAACACTGATCACAATGATGAAATATCCAACAATGATGGTGATGTCTGCTGGGTTGTTGATGGTCACCTTGTCTGACGAGGGACTCTCCATTGCCCCACTTGTACCTGAAAACACTTTGATTAATCTGTAGCTTGATGTAATCCTACTTTTGATTTATCTGCAGCCTAGAGCCTTCAAACTCTCCCTAAACTTAGGTATCAGTCTGACCAAAGAGCTACAAGAAATGAAATACTGTATCTCTGGCTGACCTATGCATGGGCTGCAGAGGTGAGATGGTCGGTCCGAAGGAGGACTTTGGCCAGCAGTGCAAATGGGCAGATTCAGCAGTTTATTAATTACAGTAATTATTAACACCACACCGTGAAAAACAGGGTTTCAGTCATGTAGTTCCAATGTATTTTCAGCAGTTTACATGCAGAAATCTACATGTATCTAATGTCTTTAATGCACAAACAGCTGCAATCTGTGTTGCCAAATTGGAAAATGTTAATGAATCTGAATGAATGTGAATGAACTTAATGAGATTTGTCATTATTTTAGACATTTTTCATAAGTATTTAACTGAACAATAGTAAAAATGTGATACTCATATTCTTGGGTTGCAGCTGTAGTTCAGACCCATCACACTTCTGTCCTGTTGGACGCTGTGTAAGTTTGTTTCTCAGTCTGATTAATAAACCGATCTGTTCGGTTGTAATAAATTCATCAGTAAAAAAAAAAAACAAAAAAAAAAAACATGTAAGCAAATAGTCCTTTAATTGTTTGATAGCACTACTTTCATCGAAACATCCATTTGCCTTTCAGTTGACAAACTTCATTAGATTGTACAAATGAGGGCAGCTTCACTTCTCTGAATGGACACACAGTAACGTGGGTGTGCATGTGTGCAAAGAGCTCGTGTTGAACAGATTTACGTCTCGGCATAGAAAACATGCATGCATACACAATCACTTTTCACATGTCATACAAGCTGTAAGCACACGAAGGAAAAAAAAAAAAGAGAAAGAAAAAAGAGAAAAAGAAAATCCAGTTCTTTAACATTTCTGGGTGAGAATTCAGAGCATGTTATGGAGGGGAAAACAAGACAGTGTGTCATGGATGTTTTCTAGAAACACAAGCTCACAACTCATGACAAATAAAAAACCTGTAGTGAAGTAAAAAAACTTTACCAAATAAAAGGTTCTTGCTACTTATCCTCTTAGTGTATTTTGGTCAGCCACACAGTTCAAGTCATATTAAAAAAAAAAGAAAAAAAGAGATCGTTTCATTTTATGTATCAATTACATATAATGGAATAAACTAAACTGTCATGTGTCATGTATTAAAACAGACCAGCAGTGATCATCATGTTATAATTAAGATGTTCACTGATACAGTAGCTGTGTCGCTGAGTTTCTGTGACTAGAACCATCTTGTTATCTGTGATGTTAAATGTGCTGTTGGCTGGAAAACTGGGGAAGTTCCACTGTTCTGTTCTCAAGGGAAACTGAGTCATTATAACACTCTGGAAAGTTTTAAATGGGAGGATGGTTTGACTGAAAATTATGAAATGTACTTGTTGGTTGATTCAGGTTATCCTAGACTGATGAGACAAATGTGGCCAAACATTTATATCTCTTTCGGGAATATACATGAATTTAGATTCAGTTGGTTAAATTGTGTGAAAAAAAACTTGACGTTTCCTCACTGAATCAATGCTTTTCTACTGATTTAAATTCTTAAGTTTCAGACTAACACTAAATCTACTCCTGTACAGAGTCACACTTTGTATTATGTCAGGAGTAAGAGTTAGACTAAAAATGCAATTTTGCCACTAAAGAGGCACATCCTGTATCCATCTTCATTTCCTGTTTGTTTCCTGTACGGTATCTAAACTGTATCCATGTTCACTAATTTAAAGTAAGGTTTGAAAATACTTGACTTGCAGTAATGAAAACTTTGTTGAAATGGCCAATTGATGTGAGTCGATTAACGCCCAAAAATAATTCCCGGCTGCTTATAATTTGAAACCCATACATCTTAATGTCATGGACATCTTTCAGTGATGTTCAGATTTCAGACACAGCAGTGTTTCCATATGCACGTTTCTCCCCCAGAAGTCACTGGATTTGGTCGATTTGAATAAATAAAAGAGGGAAACAGAAGAGAAAAGATTAAAGAAAACATAGCGGCTTACAGCAAAACAATGTGCTTACATTTCTGGGAAAAACTTCTCATAAAATCATAATTTCAGAATTGAGTCACTTTGAGATCTAAACACATATGCTCCTTTTTGACAGGTCTGTCTACACCTACATTATAACTGCATCCTACAGCACGGCTGGGCTTCCTACACTGCAGTCAGAGCAAGTTACCATCGTAAAACAACAACAAAAAAACCTTAAAAATACATTTCAATAAATAATGTGCAATGCTAATGTGTTCAGATAAGTCATAACCTCCGTGCCAAACACATTCACAAGTCCAAAGGCTGGAGCATCTGAAAGAAAAATGTAATTTTGACATGACTGCTGGATCAAGTAAAGACAACTGTTCACCTGGCTTGAATGTTTCGGAAAGATGGTCCAGACACAAACATAAGTCATATTGACGTAGGGCTGCGTGAAACCCTTACGCGGTTACCACCTATCACTGTAATTGTACAGTGGGATCCTTAAAATACTGTGAATAAAGATACACAAATCTGCTGTCAAAACTAACAATACAAAACAATTAATTTGTCAAATTTTCTCCAGAATGATTTTACCTTCTCAAGCTAAAAATGACAATTCCTGCACTTCTTCACTCTGCAGTACAGTGTCATGAAGATCTACCAAATCACCTTAAAACATGATTTTCCATCCCTAAAAGGCATTTTGTCATATATTGATATGAGAAGAAGGTGTTCTGACTGTCATATCCAGCCCTATCTGCACATTTCTCCCAATGCTATGTTCCACCTCTTTGACTTGGCGGCGTCTTTATAAGAACATTCAAAACATGCGTAAACGCACAGTTTTTGCCAAGTAAAAAGACGGTCTTGGGCCTGTTCTCAGCACGCAGGGGTTTGAATGAGCCAATCAGAACTACAAGTTGTACCAAACACTTGAGGTTGTCTGTTTTTATAAAGGATTGGACTGAGGTCCTCTGTTGAGGCGGGAAGATCAGCACAGGGACCAACTTTTCTTGGGATCGGTCTCGTCTTGGATGGGCTTCAAAATGTGAGCCAAAGACAGACAGAATAGGAAGTCCACTTCCTCGCTGGTTTATGAATTGAGTCATAAAATGTGTGCTAAATGTTGTAAATCAGATTGTTAATTCATACAGATTATGGCTGCTAAATTGTGGCAGTAAATGTGACCAAACCTGATGAATAAATTTTGTTTCTACTTTGTCACATTGGATTAAAAACAAAAACATTGATGGTAAAAATCCACCTACATACCAGCAGTTGAAAAAATGTTCTGATATGTTTTATGTGATGTGTTTCATTTCAAGTCTAGTTCATCTGTATAGCCCTTAATTGCAGTAACAATTTTAGGGGAATTTACAGGCTGACATTTGTGGAAAAGGAAAAAATATTTGAGAGTTTGTGAAGGATTACAAAGGAGGGAAAATCCCTCCAGGGATAACAGGTAGCAGCAAGAGAGCAGGAGACAAAACAGCAAAGCAATGCTATGAGACAGTTTAGCAGTTCAGAAAATGGAAAGGATACAACGTTTCAAGTGAAAAAAAAAAAAAAAAAGGTAGAAATGTTTATGTCTCTGAACACAAAGCCAAAACACAAGGTTGCACCATAAAACCTTTGTTTTCTGAGAATTACTCAAAAGGACAAACAGAATTCAGTTCATTGACAGAAGAGACTGCTATCAACACTTTGCAACAGGATGTTCTGTGCAGGTTCCAGGGTGTGCTGCAAACAAGCAGACTGAAGCTATTTATCCACTGCTGCAGGTGTTTTTGGTTCAGGCCGTTAAGTTCAGGCAAATAAGTGAAACAAAGCCTCGTCAGAAATGTGCAGGTATCCTTGTGTCTAAACTGCTGAAAAATTCACAGCGTTGAAATGATAAAAAATATTACACCAGCAAAAATCTGACAACATTACACTGTGGGAATATAATCAAAAGGCCCCTTTCTTTCTCTCTCTCTCTCTCTCTCTCAAAGGACTTAGCCGTGTACAAGTGGATTAGGTTACATTCAGGTGCATGTTGCCAGTTTTTAACCAATTTCTGGCTCCACTTGCTCTCTACCTGTAAATTTGACTATCCATAATAAATTTTGTAAGATCTGTCTGCGTCCAGTCCATTAGTATTCTGCTCTGTGGCTGCACTGTTATTGTAAAAAATGGTGTCTTCCTTGTGACTTCATGTCAACACCAACATTTCATGAGGTCAAGGTGGAGTTAATTCAAACCCAGCCTGGAGCTCATCTCTGTGTCACATGAACAGCTGCCTCGACTTCAGTCATACTGGTCCCTGTCAGGCTAGTCAGCGGCCTTCTTGCAGTTTTCTTTGGCTAGTCTCAGTCTGGACAGGATGTGTTTCTTAGGGAATTTTAGAGTGGTGCACCCAAACTGGCTCACTCCTCCAGTATCCCCAGGGAGTTTTTCACGTCTCTGGACCCAGCTGCGCCAGCCGGGCTTCCAACAGTACACACTGTCATAGAACCGTGAGCCGTTCTCTCCACCCAGCACATAAATCCTCCTTTTCCACCTGGCCACGCCCCCAGCTGCTATCCGCCGCGGCAGCCCGGGAAATACCACAGGGCTTGGGGCTCGGTCGCTTCCACCACCTGCACCCCCCCGCTGCTCTGCAGTAACCATCACCCCACCCCCAGTCACCTCCCTCTCTACCCCAGACCCCCTTCCCTCTCTGAAAAACAGAACACGGCCAGTGGCGTCTAAAGTCTCCAGATTAGTGTAGTTTCCATCCAGGAACTTGGTGGTATCCCTCATGTATCCCCCGATTGCACAGACTCCCCCTCGCACTGCTACTCCTCCAGCAAGGCAGGTGGCGCCAGAGTCCAGCGCCACGCGTGTCCAGCAGTCTGTTAGGGTGTGATAAATAAGCACGCCCGAGTGGACCACAGCCCGGTTCTGTTCTAGTGTGGTTCCACCCAGAAGGTAAAGTCGTCCACGTAGCGCTGCGCAGGCAAAGGCGCGCAGAGGTAGCGGTAGCCGAGGCCCCGGAGCCCACTGTAGTGTAGTCAGCTCCAGGGTCTCACTGGAGTCCATCAGGGCTGAGCGGTTACTGCCACCTAAGGCATAGAGTGACTCTCCACAGCCCAGCAGGCCCAGCATAGCCCTGGGCTGGACCATTGAAGGCCGCTCTATCCAGCGGTCCAACACTGCATCATATTCATGCACCGCTGCAGACACAGAGCCTGTCCGCAGGATCCCACCAGCTACAAACAGCCTGTCACCGACTGCAGTGCAGCCGGGACTGACAAGTGATTCCAGCGCTGCTAACTTCTCCCACTTCCCTGTCCGAGGATCAAAGCAGTCCACTGTGTAGTCTCTTGCAGCTAAATTCTCATCCTCCCGAGGTGTCAGGTCCACACAGACAATCTTTTTCTCAAACATTCCCTCCCGTGGTCTCAGAGGCCCCCCAAGGCCCTCACCAGCCGCAGCAGGCCCCAACTCCTGGCTCAGTCTTCGGCTTTCTTCCTGGGACAGCAGCCCGGGCCTCAGGTGGTGAAGAAGCGCCGGCATGTGGACGTAGCGGTCCAAGGGTTGGTGCTCTGCCCAGCGGCGGGCCGCGTCATAGACTTCCGCCTCGGAGTCCACTCCCAGGCGGTCTGAGCTCAGGAGACTGCCCAATGTGCCGTGGTCAAGTAGGAGGAAGTCTTTCTGTCGGGCCACCCGGGGGAAATGTTGCGCTACCAGCCGCAGGGAGGCACGCAGCAGCAGCTGGTCGTGGTGAGAGCGAGCCAGAGAGTACATCCCCAGACAGTTATCCACTGAGAGGTGCTCAAATAGAAACCTACAGAGACACGAGGGGAGAGAAATAACAGAAAACATAAACAAAAGAATGTCAAAGTAAAAATGTAACTGACCAAATTGCCTTGATCATCTGTCACTTTTACACAGCAGATTTACCTGGAGCACAGGTCTTGAAGGGGCATGACCTGAAGCCGGTTGGCAGCCACAAATAGATCCTCAGCTGTATCCAGAGAGAGCCCCGCCTCACCAGTGTACACAAACTGGATGACAGTCTCCATGACAGACGGCGTCACCTCCTCCAGACGGATCTCGGTGAGGCGCGACTCCACCAGTGGGCTGGTGAACATGGCCCGGAAGTAGGGGCTCACAGCTGCTAAGAGGACTCTGACAGGAGAGAAGGATGGAAGGAGAAAGGGAAGAATATAGAAGATATCTGCTTCTGTGGAATTCATAAAAGATGGAGAACACAAGTCTACACAAATTACCGTTTTTCCATGAAGTCAAAAATAGGCAGCTTACTGCAAACCAACAAGGCCTCTTTGTCATTTTCCCTCTTTGATATCAAACAAAAGCTGCAAATGGCTTTCAGCAAGAACAGGACTGTATCATAGCAGCTTTATCAGAAGCTAAGTCTTCTTCCTTTTCCCTCTCCCCATCTTCTCTTCAGTAGTCTGTTAGTCTGCGACAGTTTCTATGTTATAATAGTTGCTGAAATGATTACTCAATTAATCTGTAATTCATTTAGAAATATGAATTGTCCATTTGTCATTAAACTGAGTTAAAATATACTATTATTTTGGTGAATACTGAAATGATTCACTTGCATTCCTCTATTCCATATAATAATTATAATAGTAATTGGAAATGAAAGTTGTTTTTTGACATTATATCTATCTAAGACATGACAGCTCTAACAACTTGCAACTGGTGTATGTCATTATTTGTACATTGGAAAGAGAGAAAATTTTGATTATCCACAAAAAAAAAAGTTAGCTACAGCCTTGGTTGAAACACTCATCTCAGTATTTATGTAAAGTGTGTTTATTGCCATAAAGCTTAAGATAGGATAAGGCAGGCACACCATACCTGTGACACATGAACTTCTTTCCCTCCACAAGTAGAGTGACATCACACAGCTGCTGAGCATCCAGGAGCTGCTTCAGTCCTAAAAACAGCAGAAAGGGGGAGAGAAAACAGAGACAAGGGCGAGGACAGAAGGAGGGGAAGGAATATAGACATAATAAGGGAGGTTAGGTGAAAGTAATAAGGGATCAAGGGATATTTTCCAAGGTCTCAACAACACCCTCTCTGTCCTTTATCTTTTCATTCTGTCTCACCATGTGTGATGTAGTCTCCCAGGGGGGTGGTGCTGTCATCAGGGAAGTCCTCCTCCTCTGAGTCACTGTCCGACAGAGGCTCCCCTCCTCCCCCATCCCCGTCCTGCCATGGCTGGGGACGCCAGGTGACTGTGCCCCCCCGCACAGCATTCATCTGCGAATTACACACACATGCACATGCATTTGAAGTAGGCAATCCCTTTAACCTTTATGCATGCAGAGCCTATCTGCAACAGACAGGCCTATGTATTATAGGTAGAGGCCTGCAACAGACATGACCCAGATAACACCAATCTCTGTGGAAAATGTTGCTTTTAAAGCCAAAGTTGAGTACTGTGCAGTTTTATTTTAACTATAAATAAATATGGTCTGCCACAGATTTACCACACCCCACTTTTACAATGTTCCCATTTTCCTTTTTCCATATTTTAACCTGGCTAAAATAACACGTACACACTCAAACACAGAGTTGTTGTAGCATCAGTTTACCGGTGAAAGGTTGAATTTTTTAGCTTTCATTACCTTTGCTCTTCTTCTCGTTTCCACCGTGAAAGCTGTTTGGGTCTCACTTTCAGCAGGAATTGGTGGGGCAGGCTAACTGTATCCAAGTACCCGGTTATTACCAGAAGTTTCTGCAAGCTTTCGCGGCTCCCATTTGGTTGTCTTGTTCCTCTGGACTCAGCTGAAGGGTTCGTCCCGGCCTGCGGTGAAGACGCGTCAGGCTACTCGCTGCTGCTGCTGCTGCTGCTGCTCCTCCAGCCCCGTGCACAACATCACCACTAACTGACGGACCAAACTAGCTCACAAAGGGACAATTCTCCTCCGGCGCAGAAGATTCTCGTCGTAACACATCTCAGTCCACCATGGCAGTAAGCACACACATCCAGTTCGGCGGCGAGACAGTGCAGGGTGCAGTTTTCGGCGCCTATAGGGCAGAAAATCAAGACTGAGTTCAGGTTCTGTCGGCCGCACTTGTCATGTCTGAACCGGATTACCGCAACGTTAAACTTCCGCTCATCTGATTGGCTGACCTTTGGCTCGTGACGATTGTTTGGAGCTGAGTCGTTTTTCTATCAGTGGTTAAATTACAATGTTGTCCACTACCCTTTTGACGTTTTTTGACAACCTTTGCGTAAAATACCTCATGTATATTTGAATAAAAAATTTAAAAAGGCGTTTTCGTAATACTTTGTATCGGAAATACCTACTTCCGCATTTATGCTGCATTCAAAGCAGATACGATCGTTAGAGTGCGTATATAGTGCTCTCTGGTTTCAAAAAAGAAAGACAGAAAAGAAGAGAGGCTAAGAAATATGAATGGTCAGTATTGTTATCATTCATATTATGCTTTACATTTCATTCAAACTCATATCTTTTGGTCTGCATGGTGAACGGCAAACCAGGAACCAACACAGAGTATAAACGGGATTATTCCAATATCCCATAAACGCAACATCGACCACAAGACAAATATGGCGACGTGCATCGGCATGGTTGCCAGAGTTGGAGGTGCCGCACTGACTGTGTTGAAGCCGGCCGCCAGACAGTGTTCAAGGCAGAGGACAAGCGTTTTTATCCCGCACCGCTTCTCGCATGGAGTCCGGAGCAGTTTGTACGAGCATGTCCGTGAAGGCTACAGCGACAAGCCCGAGCTGGACATGAGAGTGGTGTGTGAGGAGACCGACAAAGTCATAGCTAATGTGGAGAGCAGGAAGGGTGACCTGCGAGCGGACGATGTCAGCAAGATTGTAAGTTTGTTGCTGTTAACTTTGTCCCATAAAAGCCATGACAGCCCTTGTCTTCTGACAAAAATAGGTTGTATACAAAAGTACTGTTTGGTGAGGAATGGGCTGTGGTTGAAGGCCCATATAACAGATGCAAATGAGCCCCCCTAGTTACAGACATACCCAGAAATATTTTAAAATATGAGAAATTACTCTGCTTTGAATAATAATTTGTGTCTGACATGTTTTTTCCTCATAAAATTTGAATTACCTTGTTAAAAAATCTTGTAGTGGCATCTAATGTTACTACTTCTTCCAAATTCTATGAACATGTATCTTAGATATATTAACCATTTCACATAAGATGTCTCCTAATGTTACCTTAAAGTCGCTTTCAGTGTATATGCACTGGAAGTTTCAAGACTCCACATCACACTTGTGTAAGATGTATACTTAACCCTGATTGGCTCTTGTTGGCAGGTGGTTGTGATGTCACAAAATCTATGTATGCTTTAAAATGGTCATAAAATAGTAACTTAAGTTTTAATACTCATCATAGGCACAGTATTCCTTCATATAAATATTGGAGCAAGTATACAAAGAGTATTCAGTCCCAGTAAAATCAGACCCAGCTTTATTAATCCAGTACATAGATAGCACAAATAGAATTATACTCAGTTTGTCAGTAGCTATCAACATATTTACATATGTACTTAATATATTGTGTACAGTTGATATAAACATGGAGAACACTGAAAGTTAAGAGTTTAGATGTAATGACTTTTATCATTTTCATGCCCACAGTTTTACTCGCTTCTCATCTGATCTCACTGATTGTGTGTGTGTGTGTCCGCATTGTAGGTATGTGTGTGGCAGGAGCTCCAGGCAGTGAGGACAGAAATCTCTGAGCTGGAGCAGCAGAAGAGCAACATCGGTGTCATAGTCAGAGCACTCGTGGTCAGTAAAGCTTATTAAAGCAAGGCTCACCATCACCAGTTTCACTCAAGCTTTTCTCAGTCATTTTCTCTATTTTACCTCACAGACCAAGAATGACAAGAAAGCCCTTGCCAATGTAAGTTCAACATCCGCACTTCATCTCTTTGTTATTGAATCAGTAAATATTGGCACTTATTTCTCCTGTCAGTGGTGAATCACATCTGGGGAGACCTCTGAGTCCTTGTTGTTTATCCTGCAGCTTCCAGAGTACACGCAGACTCTGCAGAGGGGTCGAGACATTCGCAACAGGCTGAATCAGCTCTACCCCAAAGAGACTGAGCTGGATGAGGAGCACTACAGCCGAGCGCTCAGATTACCCAACACCACACACCCGGACGTGGTTAGCGCGCACACACACACACACACACACACACACACACACACACACATTTTGTCCAGAGCATCTGGGGAGAGATTTGCTGTGAAGAAATTCTGTTAATTCTTTAATTAGTTTCTTTTTCATTTTTCAGCCAGTTGGAGATGAGAGCCAGGCGAGGGTGGTGGAACTGGTTGGAGAGAAACCAGGTGAGTGATGTGAGCTGTGCTGCTATTGAAGTGTAAGTGAATGGATTTTGAATAGACATACTAAAAATTCTTAAATAATAATGTCACTATTTGCTGTAGAGTTTGACTTCAAGCCCAGAGGCCATGTGGAGCTGGGGGAGGAGTTAGGTCTCATCAGGCAGAGGTGAGGATGACTGGTTGTTGTTATCAAGTAGTTGCTTGATATTCCACTTGCTGTTCTGTCTGTGCACCATTCTTTTGAATCTTTTATTCATATGATCAAAAGAAATACCGTAATATCTTTGATATGATCAGGGGTCATAATATTTTCTTTCCCTCTCCTCTCCTGAAGGCATCTGTCCCACATCTCAGGCCACAGGTCCTACTATCTGAGGGGAGCGGGCGCTAGACTTCAGATCGCCCTCCAAAACTTCACCCTCGACACACTGCAACGAAAGGTAAGCATACGTTTGGAAATTTTAGATATGATGTCTTAAAAATGAGTGTATATTTGTGTTTTGTTAACACATAGAGGAGCCAAACTTCAGCTTTCCCTCTAACTTGCAGGGCTTCATTCCCATGGTTGTACCTGACATGCTGAGGGGGGCAGTGTTTGTGAGTAGCATTTTGACTTGATAATCGAATCTAAAAATGTGTTTCAGATGTTCATAAATTAAACATCAAAAGTAATGTGTTGCTAATAATCATTATATTGCAATAGACATATCAGTTTAAAGACCAAAGTATCTTCAAGACACAAAATGTCCCGTCCCTTACTTCTTCTTGCTTTGATTCATCTTTCTGTTTCCAGGAGGGTTGTGGGATGCAGCCCAACGCCCATCGCTCTCAGGTCTACTCACTGGACCCGGCTCGTTTCCCGGACCTCAGCCTGGCTGGGACTGGAGAGGTCGGGGTGGCAGGTGAACACTTGACTCCATCAGAATTGTAATAATTGCATTTGTTTCTGGATCTTTCTGGGTGAACCTAAATTCTTCTTTTATGTAATCCACCATAAATTATGAATCCAACATACAATAGGATCTCGCTGCGAGACCAGTTACCAGAACCAAGTGGTGATGTTTAAGTAACATACGAATAGTCATAGTCTTTGCTGAATAGGTGTTTCATTACAGGTTTGAATGTGTCTCAGCCAATCAGAAAGGAAAACCCGAGAGATCCTTTTGTAGTAAGCAATAATCTGATGAGTGCTTCTCTTCCTCAGGCTACTTCATGGATCATGCAGTAAACTGGAAGGACCTGCCTGTCAGGTTAGGAGCACCCCTCACTCCTAGTTTGTAACAGAGTGTTATGTTTGAGTAATTACAGCTGACATGAGCTGTCATCTCTCACTGCAGGACGGTGTGTAGCAGCACCTGCTACAGAGCAGAGACAGACACTGGCAGAGAGACATGGGGCCTCTACAGAGTTCATCACTTCAACAAGGTCCAAAAGACAGCAGCTCGTTTTGTCAGACAGGAGTTTTCACTTGGATTGATAAATGAGCTTACAGTTTACAGAAATTAATTCAGCCATAAAAAAATGCCAACTGTTTAATTATGCTGACAAGGTGTGTGTGCGTGTGCGTGTGCGTGTGCGTGTGTTCAGGTGGAGATGTTTGGAGTGACAGCAGATGAGACAGGAAAGGAGAGCTCTCAGCTGCTGGAGGAGTTTGTCTCTCTGCAGAAAGAGATGTTCTCTGCACTGGAGTTACACTACAGGTCAGTACACACACACAGACACACACACACACACACACACTATTAATTTGCATTATATACATTTTTGCTCTAAATTGTATTTGTGTGTATTTTCCCTCAGAGTGCTGGACATGCCGACTCAGGAGCTGGGTCCTCCTGCTCACAGGAAGTACGACATTGAAGCCTGGATGCCAGGAAGGAACAGCTATGGAGAGGTCAGCCCCATCACATCACTGTTACCTACTCACTCACTTTATATCTACATTAGAAGTCACATATGTAGAAAATAACTGAACTTCATCTGATGATTTGTTGATCATTATAAAAGTAAAGTGGCTCATTTGAGATAATGTATGTACCTGCTGTGAGTCTGACACACAAACAAGCCATCAAAGTCCTTTCAACTTTTTGCAACTACAAAACAGACATAATATATATGTCCATTCAATTTTTCCTGTGTAGCTTATGCAAAATAATATGAATATTTTGTAGCCAAACAGTTGTCCTTGGTTTAAGAAGTCCAGTTTTTAACCCCAATGTTTAATTCAGTATCTCATACATTATTAATAAAGCGCAGCATCTGTAGCACGCATGACTAGAGAGCAGTCAGAGTAAAATCTAACATTATGAAAGTAAATGTTGAACATTTGGTCCCTATCTTTTATTGGAACTGAAAGAGGTTTACATGTTTCTGATGATTCTGATTTCATTTCTTGTCTATATATTAAGATTTCCAGTGGTTCCAACTGTACAGACTACCAGAGCAGACGCCTCAACATCCTATATGAGAAAGAGGACGGCAGCCTGCAGTACGCCCACACAGTAAGACTGCAGATGAGGCAGCACTGCTGGTGTAACCTGCAGCAGTATACCACCTCCATAATAAAGTGTTTGTGTGTGTGGTTTGTTTTCTGTTTTTTTTTCTCTAGGTGAACGCTACAGCATGTGCCATCCCCCGGACCATCATCGCTATCTTGGAAACTCACCAGACCAAAGTAAGACACCAACATGCGGACACACTTCCTAAAAAAAAAAAAAAAAAACAAAACCCTGCAAAACCTGGAATTTCTTTAATGCAGGTGTCCTGTGACACAATGAAAAGGCTGCACCATGCAACTAAATAATGACCTGGTTATTATGGACAAGGCTCTGTCATTTTTGTCTGTATACCAGCAATAACCTGCAGATATCAATGATGTTCTGTTCAGAAGGAGGCGAATGTAAAATCACACGTGTAGCTCAAAATTATGTTTGTGGGCATGTGTCGAGAGTAACTGTAAAATAAGTTTTTAAAGGTATAAATTTTAAACATTTTTCTAGACAATAAATGTGAAGTTTAGCCTGTTATATCTTCTGCCTCCACTATGAAAAATGTACATTTTCTAGGGTGTCATAAGTATTGAAGGAGCTCCCCCTAGTGGGTGTTGTCATGGGCTGGTTGGGGGGCAAAATATTTTCAAATAGAATATAAACTGAGAAGTGGCTATGTCTTAAAACAAATTTAAAACTTACTAAAAAGTCCACTGATGCATCATGGGGATGTGGTTTCACAGGCAGAAGAATCCACCGTCCAAACAAAGCCTTTGAGTTTTTCTTTCTCTTTATTTATTCAAACAAGCAAACAGAAGAATGAAGGGATCATGCGTCCTGCTGCCCCTCCTGCTCTGGTAAAATAAAAATAAAAAACTGTAGGCCCACCCAGGTGCATGCTGGTCCTAAACCTGTGTACCTACCTAAAAACCAACAAACAAACCAGTACATGGCTCCTATATAAAATAAGAAAGCTTTTTGTGAATAAAGTAGCACCACAACTAATGAATACTTTATCAGTTAACTGGAGCTTATTTTTCGTCATCCGTCTCTTCACTCAATCTCCTCAGGAGGGAACGGTGCGTGTCCCCCGAGCCCTGCAGCCTTACTTGGGTCTAGAAGTGCTCGAGAAGCCAAAGTACACGCCGCTGAAATACATCGGACCCAACCAGCACAATCGACCACCCAGGCCTCCTCCTAAGACCAGATGACACTAATACAAGTGTCAGCAGCCGTCCGCAGAACACCTGAGGTGGGAGTCAGTTCACGTCCAACATCGCTAAGTCAGACAGGAAAGTTGATATTTAACTACGATGTTTCATACATTTTGTTGCACGTCCACTTACAAGCTGTTAATGATCGCTGATGTGCTTCAAATGAAATGAAACACAGGCTGACTTTTTGAGTGGAGTGTGAAATGAGTCCATCAGGATCAGTTTACTGTCAGTGTAAATATATTTATGTCTTACTTGCCTGAATGTGTGGTAGAACAACCACAGTATGAAAAACCAGTAAAAAAAAAAAAAAAAGTGTTCAACTTCTGTTTCTTTTGTTGATGTTATTGTTTTTTAAATAAGTGTTGGTGCGGAAAGTCACTCACACAAATAAACACTCAAACCCACTGAATGACACTGTGACCTTGAGGATGGGGGGGGGGCGCCGCTGCATAGTAGAATATTTAATTATTCCCAGAGGTGATACACAGTCCAGGCCTTTTACTTCGTGTTACATTACCAGCTGTCACAAAGTAGGCTATCAGTAATTGATGTGCAAAAGTAATTAACCGGCAGCTTGAGGAGGTGATGATGTTGAATGAACCTGCAAATAAAAGGAAACTGTATTCTCACTGGGTACATATAGTGGGATTTGAATAGGGTGGAATTACAGAGAAATTTTATGTGTAGCTACTTACATCCCTCCATATATTTGATATATATGTGAATATGCATGAGATACACAGTGTTTGATTAAACGTTCAAAAACATTGTGTTCATATACTGTAAGTACACAACAACCACCTGACATCCATAATAGGGTTTGGGCTTTGATCTGGTCTCAGTCACCTGACACCACACACACACACACACACACACACACACAAACACACACACACACACACGGTTGTCCTCCACACCTCGGCTCCACCTCGCTCGGCGGGTGTGTGAAGAAGCTCCAGCCCGTTATTTCAAGGTTATCTCCTGCAGGAGCCTCACTTTTCGGATCCTATGGGAATTCTGATAACCGCAGTTTTTCTTTGGGCTGCTGTCGGAGGTAAGCATCCATCACGTTCATTAAACAGCTCTGTGTGTGTATATGTCTGTGCGTGTGTGTATGTATTGTGGGCGCTTGGTGTGAATTGATGGTACAAAACGCAGAGTGTCGCTCTCAGCAGGCTGCGCCGGAGACGAGCCTCATCTTTCACACGCTGCTGCCTCAGCTGTAGCCTTTATTCTTCTTCTAGCCTATTTACCGGTATAAAATCAGCTTTATGCAAAAAAAAAAACACGAGACAAAATACATTTTAATAACAGTTTATTGCGCAGGCTTGAGGTGTGTGCCAACCTAATGGCGACAGCCTCAGGGGTTTAGACTAATAGGCTAAACAGAAGCGCTGTTACATAATTTGTTGTGCGCCCACCTTTCTGTTTGTCTGACTATGCTGTCACCAGATTTCACACACACAGAAACACATTTGACTTATTGAGTCCAACACACACTGCGAATGAAAGCTGCGCACCGGTGAGCGGAACAGCGCACATATGTGACACGCGGCAGTAACTGTGAAAACCGCGTAAATAATAGGTTAAAATAAGTGAGGCTGCCCACGGGCTGTGACAACGAGAGGGGAGTCTGCCTCTCACACAGACGCGCGTGTGGAAATAGGGTTAATATTAGGTTTGCAGTGGTGTTATGCAGCAACACAGCGGTTAACCTACATAGAGACTTTAACTGTTTGTGGGGTTAAGTTCTAGGCTATTTAGCTGTCGCAGTATATGTGAAGGAAATAATGGCCAATCCTCACCCTAACATAGTATAACTAAAGCTGTAACTACACACACGTCACGTCAGAATCAGCATCTGTAGGTGATATGTTATAACAGTATTAGTCTGCCAATACATGCCACTGCATTTCATTTCACACAAACCAGAAATAAAGACAGGGTACCAGTATACAAACATAATCTCAGTCATTGGATGTACAAAATACTATTTCAGCCACAAAATACCTAAATCCTAATACCTAAAAGCCTAAAAAGAATAACTAAATGGTCAAAAACATCTAACCCATCAGTCCATCTATCAATTTGATAGGCAAGATACACAATCAGTAATAAATGGTAGATCAAAAATAACAGAAAAAATAATAATAAAAATAGTAGCTTAGGAGAGTGACTAGTTCTAAAGACCACAGCCTTTCAGGATACACACATTTGCTGCTTTAAGATCTTTTTCAAAAGCAGATAGAGACAGTGACATTTTTACAGTGTTATCAAGCTCATTCTCTGCACTAAAACTTTAATTTAATTTATGTTTCTTTGTATAAGATGTTTTTTTCTGGTCTTGTGAGGGAGGGTATATTGGAATAAGGTCACAGAGTTTGTCATTTAGCTTTAATACAACATAATACAAGCACTGTGAAAGACATGACATTATACATAAAACATAAAGAAGAAGGGTAATGCCATTATAAAGTCATTATAAACTCATCCCTCGGCCCCTATACAGACGGCACATATGTTCCTAGCTCAGATGGGGTCCAGGGTTTTAGGCTAAGCAACATTTTAGAGGCCAATAACAAACTGCAGCACAGTTGACTTGCACAGATGCTCTTGGTTTCTTAATTTCTAGCATGGAGTTTGGTTTGACCCTGGGCAACAGGACAAGCCAATAAAAACCAGAGCCAGATCACAGCGTTAATTATGGGGCCGGGGTGTGCCAGCTTAGACACAGTGTGGATTACACACACACACACACGCACACACACACACTCTTCATCACATGCGCTTGCAGAGCATTACAGGGCTGAACTGTAGGCAGCTCACGTGTCTGTATGGGGGTTCACCACTGGTCAAAGGTATCAATTAGTCCTATTGATTCTGATCTGTTCTGATCTGGCTGTGTCCTGACACAGAGCAGAGCAGAGAAGTCAGATTAAAGTTACAGCTTCTGCATGTGTTGTGTCAGTGAAATGACCACATGCACCTGAATTATAAAGAGTAGCTGTGAATCTGCAACATCTGCTATTGAGGAGTTTATCATATATTGTGTATGCAGTATAGATTTTGAAACTGGTCCCTCCATTTACCGTCGTGTGAGTCAGTTTTATGATAGAAATACTTGATAAATTCACCTGACATTTAGATTCAGGAGTAAATTAATGTGCAGTAATTGAACAGCATCACATCTTGTGCCTCAGCCAATCCTCCCGCCCAATACATAACAATAAAAGAAAAGGTTGTGGGCTTCGGGCCGAACATGGATTGTGATCTATACTGACATTTAGGTCCTTGTTAGATTCGATGTATCTCCGTGAGAAAAGGTGCTGATGGCACTGCTTAGTGTGCCTTTAATGGTCTCCTGGCAGGCAGGGATTGGGGACTGGTTTAGCCCTGGTGGGAAACTACCTGTGAGATAAAGCCTTTGGGAATGTCTGCATCCTGGAGAGAGAGAGCGAGGAGGTTTAAGCTTCTTTGCTGTGTCGCTTTACCAAGATAACTGTGCTTAACCTTAATGAGGGAACAGCTCCACCCACGCCCATATAGGGCATAAGCACTGCTAAGTAACTAGTTCCTCTGATGCTCTTTTGATTAGTTTGGTGCAGTTTTTACTGCTGCAGAAACGCAAATTTTATTCACATTCTCCATTAAACTCATTTTCTCTCTTCTCCTTGTTTTGTGCATCAGTGGGAAGCCGGCCAGTATCCTCACCCCTTAATGATGCAAAGGTCAGAAACAAGTCCTTTTTATTTTCCTAATCATTAAGCGCATTTTTTTTAATTACTCAGACACTAATTATGTGTTTTTTTTGTACTGTGCTTCCAGGTTGAATGTATTATTCAGGAGACACTGAATGAAGATGGGTCACAACAGGAGTGTGGCCCACAGCTAGCAGGTGACGTCTCTAATTATCATTGAACTAAACAACACACAGTATGAAAGTGAGATCTGCTAATTTCTCTGTTTTATATCATTGTAAATTAAAAATGGTTAAATGCTTTTGGAGCACTGGTAGGTCATTTAAAGCCCTGGGAAACAGTACTATAACTGGGACAGGCATTTTACATTTTTCAATTTAACAGCAACTTTCAATTCTTTCAATTTAATAGCATTAATGCAACTCAGCTATCACAAGATGATTTTTATCTTTTGTCTTATTTTTGATTTGATTAATTTTTAATTTTTTTTCTATACTGTGATTAGTGTGCTAACACATTTCTTTTGTCACATAATATTTGTGGGCTAATTAGAGTTATAATTCACTGTGTGTGTGTGTCTAATGATCTGAGTGTTAATGTGTCTTGTCATTCTCTGCAGAGGAACTTGATGAAGTGCAAAGACACCAGGGTTTGCTCAGGGAGCTGCAGAGGTTGGCTGATGATGGTATGCACAAATTCACATTCACACACACACATCCCTGCATTTCTTCACACATCACTCTGAAACACTGACTACTGCAATCTGAATGTTGCAGAGAGAGACAGGGAGCACGAGGACGGGAGGGAGAAGGAGCGGTACGAGTACAACTTGGCTGACGACGAGAGCGACTTCGAGCAGAGGGATGAAGAGGAGGAGGAGAAGGAGGAGAGAAACATGACCAGTCTTGGGAAAAAGACAGAGGAGAAGAAGGAAGACAAGACAGAGGGAGATGACACCAAAGAGAGTGTGATGGAGAGGCCACGAATTGAAGACAGAGGGAGCGACGATGAAGAGGAGAGAGCCAAGGAGCTTGAGGAGCTGTTGGCCGAAGAGATCACCAAGAAAGGGAAGGAGGAGAGGAACGATGAAGAGCTCAAAGAACTGCTGAAAGAGTTGAAAAAGAAGCGATACGAGGCGGTGAAGGAGAGGGAGATCCAGAAAAGCTCTGGAACAGAGCAGAAGGAGGAGATGGAGGATAAGAAGGAAAAGAAGGACAAAGAGAATGAAGGAGAAACAGTGGAGGACTTGGAGAAGCAGAGGATCGAGGAGAGGAGGAAGAACGAGGTGGAGCTGATGGTGGAGAAGGAGAAGGTGGAGAAGGAGCTGAAGGAGCTCCTCAAAGAACAGGACAGTAAGAATAAGCCACAGCAGGAGAGGGAGAGGGAGAGGAAGGAGAAGCAGGAGGAGCTGGATGAACTTGTGAGGAAGATGAAGCGGGTGCAGGAGGAGGAGGAGCAGGAGACACAGGTCGGGACAAAAGAGGACAAGGTGGCTGAAGTGCCGGTGGAGGAGAATAGTGAAAAGAAGGTGGGAGAAGGAGAAAAGGAGCCCGATGAGAAAGCAGAGAATGAAGTCAAGAAGAAGGAGGAGGCGGTGGCGGCTGAGGTGAAGGAGCCGCAGCAGAAGAGAGTGATGGAGAAGGCGAGTGATGAGGCCACACGGCAGTTTGAGCGGGAAAGGTACAAGGATGAGGAAGAAGAGGAGGAAAATGGAGAGGATGAGGAAGATGAGGATGAGTACGTCAGAGAGGATGAGGAGGGGCAAGAGGAGGAAGACGATGACGAGGGTGACGCCGAAGAAGACGAAGGGGAGGTAAGTTAGTGCAAAAAATATGTAAATGTTTGTGTGTGTGTGTGTGTGTGTGTGTGTGTGTGTGTTTATTCTAATGTCATATCTAATGTTAGCTAGTGAGGCTGTGAGGGTGGGATGGTTATAGATAACATTTCATTTGTTAGCCTAGCACTAGCTAATGTTAAAGCTCAAACTCATAGCTGTCATTAATTGCACATGGTAACGTTAATTGGTTTGGGCCTGTCATTGTTTCTAACTACCGAAGACGTAGCCTGCTAACCTGTGGAAGCAGGTGTCCTCATCGATGTCGTTTTCTAACTTGCTGGCTGTGAAGTTTTGAAATATTCTGTCAGCTTGGAGATTTTTCCTATGAGCTTGATTCCCGCTGCACTTTCTCTCTTTGATTTTTGCAAATGCATTGCAATGTACTGATTCTGCTATATCTACACAGTATAGTCTATCACCACAATAAACAGAGAACAAAATATGACCATCTCATTGTTAAAGCAGATGTAATCAGTGGCTCTGAACTGAAGCTAGAATCTTGTGGATCAAGCTGAATAATATATTAATGATAATAATTGCTCCAAAATGTACATCCATGAATGAGTTTCATTGGCCTGGTGTAACCAGCATGGTATTCACCAACAACAATGAACTCTTAGAGTTACGGGTCTTGGAGGCTCTCTGACATTAACTATTGTTATTATTGCAGGACACTGAGATGATATAGTTTTTATGATTTTTGGAAATATTTTATGTACCAGGTAGTTAAAAAGTAATTAGTACATTTATTTCTGTAACACGCTTAACTACTGAACCTAGTAAATATTTAATTTGCACCACACATCAAAAACTTACAATGTAATCAGGTGGTTATGATCTAAAGTGTCACCATGTGCGCTGTCTCATGTATTCTCATTTTTCCTGTCGACAGGAGCTGCTGGAGATTGAAGCAGAGCTGCGTAAAGTCGCTGCAGAGCTGAGGGAGCTTCGCAGAGGATAAGACACACGATTGCGCACATTTACACACACACACACACACACACACACACACACACACACACACACACACACACCAGACTGACAAACCCCTTTGTTGCATTCACAGTCACACACTCAGCTCACACATTTTCCATTTAACAGCCTTCAAATCCCATCAGCACTCAGAGAAATATTCTCAGATGTGAATCTGTAAATGTAGTAGAAACTGTACATACTGTTGTTTCATTTCTGTTTCTAGATCACCTGGAGAAAAAAAGGTGTCACTGTTTCCTCAATGCTCATGAATGGTTTTTTTGCGTATTGAGGAAAAAGAGATGCGTTTTCTGGAGAATCTGAAAGCCTGTTGTGTCCATCACTCGTGTCCCTGTCTCCGTACCTGTAAATGCTGTTTGTAAGGTTAGGCAGGTGATTTCACTTCAGTTGTAAACCGCCATCTTGGATGCAAAGCATTCAGCACTTTTCATTCACATGTTAATTTTGACTGCAGATTGCCAACCACACAAACACCATCATCTTTGAAATCTGAGTCATGAATACTGGCAGTCAGTGTTCTCTACTATAAGTAATATGTGTATTTCAATATATATTTTGTGCAATAATTGATAACTATGTGTAAGCTGTTCCTGCTGTTCTGACTGTTAACGATATATATATTACGGATATTTCTACACAGGAGTAAGTCATTATTTCCTCTTCATTTCTTTGATGATAAAGTAGAAACAAGGATTGTGTTTTATTTGGCTTATGCACTGTTAAAACCAGACTGTTTGTGACGAACCGGGGTGACACGAAACAAAACACAGAAGTTTGTCGCGCACGGTAAGTGTGTGGCGACAGGACGTGATGTACTTAGAGCTTACAAGGTCTAAAAGTGTCACCTCAGGTTCTCAGCCAGCTTTGCACTCTTATCTTAACAAGCCAAGGAAGAGCCGAGGGAAGAGGGAGACACTAAAGCCATTTTGTTGTCTTTGGTAACAGCAACACTGACAATAACATTTATAAACGCTCAGTCGTGTTACTTCACAGTTTTCATGGCTGTCATGTCATTTGTGTAAATATCAGATATCATGGTCTGTAAGCCAAGGTCATAGGAAATATGAAGTAACAGCGCCCCCAAGAGGACACTGGGTAGAAATGCACATGGTGCAGGATTAACAGGGTTACCACTGGAGGCCCACTTAACTGCAATAACACAATATAGACTACAGCACACATGAATGCAATAATTACTCAAATAATTCATAATTTCATGTATTTTAATATGTAATCAAAGTGCATCATATTGTACTCATCTAGCAAATATAATCTCTCTTTTTTCTACACAGCCAAGATTTACAATACATTTATGTATTTGAACACTGGCAAGGTAGCCGGTCAACTTGTGAAAACACATTAGTAATAAGACACGTAATCAGTCAACACTGATGAGCTCATTGCTGTCTATTCCAAAGAGGAGCTGTTTGTTCACTTGAGAATAAATGAAAAATGAATGTACTGTAGTTTTCTTTTTCTATAGAAGCAAAATGTTTCCACATAATGTAACTTACAAACAAGCAAGAAAGATGTATAGGAAATGTCTGTGAGGGGTGGGGGGGTGGTGGGTGACATATTGGGCATAGAGGACATTTCAAAGAACAGGAAAAAAAAAACACCATTTGTAATATTACTGGCCAATCAGAGTGCTGTATTTTGTGCCTGCTGTATCTTCTTCTATGCTACCTGTCAATCAATAAACGGAAAGTGGATTAAACCATTATGTGTCGTCGGTTTGGTTTATCGACTTGCAAAATGAGGCACTTAAAAGCAGAATATTATTAGTGTTATTGACATGAGATACAGTTTAAAATCAAGCCATGTTACAAATTACAAATAAATAACTTCTTAGAATTGAAGCAAAGTCTTAAAACAGCTGAGTTCGGTCCCAACAAGACAGTAAAAAAGCTTGTACCAGTGACTTGTATTTGTCCTGGGAGGCTGATGAAGCACTGCACAATCTGTGCTCTGCTCCTGAGGCAACTTAAAGAGCAGCAGATGGACCACCTGTGGTCAGTGTTGTCTTAGGAGTGCTAGTAGCCCGGGGGCAAACAGAGGTCTGTTTGTCCAACACTGACTCAATGTGGCTGAGCAGAGAGGAGAAAAACTGGGGCACTCCCTCATACCCTGATGGAGAGAGGAGGGTGTCAGAACATCAGTGTGTCTCTGTGTGTGTTTGTGTGAGTGCAGCTGCAGTACCTGGGAAGATGTTGATGTCGATGACGGTGAGGGTGTGCGTGTGAATGTTGAGGATGACGTCCACGCCGAACAGGGCCATGCCAAGCTGAACTCGGAGCTCTCTGACCAGGGCGGCCACGGCCTGGGAGCTGGGAGGAGGGAGGCACGGCATCTGCTCATCCAGCTTGGAGAGCAGGAGTTAAAAAAAAACACATTTTTAGGCTGGATTTCAGCCTCATTTGAAACTATTTAAAAGCCACTGAAAATGCTTTTATCACATTTTCGCATTACATGATGACACAGCCCATCTGGTGCTAGTGTTGCTCCACTGTAGTCTTTATCTAAAATGATTTAGGGAAAGCAAGTGTTTCGGTGTAATGCCATTTTTAATACTCACAGCTGTGAGATCAGAGCTTGACTCTGGCTTGGACACCTGATGGCTGTTGAAGAAGATGGTTTTCCTGTCTGGAGGCAGAGAGAAACCAACACTACAATGGATGCAAGGAGCAAAATTGGGTAACAAAGAGAAACACAGTGGCATGAGATAGGACAGGGAAAGACGCAACAGGACATGGCAGTACAGGACAAGAAAGGAAAAGATAGAAAAGGAAAGGAAAGGAAAGACAAAAAGAAAAGGACAAAGCAGGAAAGAGAAGAAAATGACAAGGCAGGGGAAGGAAGTATAAGGCACTACAAGGAAGGAAAAGAGGGAACAAGGCAGAGAAGGAAAGGAAAGGAAAGGAAATATCTTATGTGTGCATTAGTGGGGTGCAGACTGACCACAGGGACCGGAGGGGAAGTTCTTGAGTGAGGGCCTTTCTACGCAGAAGTGTTTGTCTCCTACCACAAAGACCTTGTGCAGAACAGCTCCGTGGTTGACGAAGCTCTGCAGCACACAGGGAGGATGGATGTCAGTGAGACTGCCTGCACTGAAGATCAGAGACATCTGCAGGACACAGGAGATTGCACAGACACTGAGCGAACAGACAGCAAATAAACAACAGTGAATGACAGAAACAAACAAACAAACAAACATGAGTTCAGAGTCATGAAGTGAAAATGGAAAAATAAAACCACTTACTTCATGGGAAAGTGAGCCATGTGCCACTCTAGTTTTGCAAACTGGGGTCAACAGAGAAAAAGAGAAAGTTATTCTGTCATAAATCATGAGAAAGAAAGAAACATGTGAGAGAAACATTCATGATGACAAAATGTTGGAGAATTAACACACCCCTGACCACAAATCCAGTCCTGAAAAATCTGACAAATACTGTTTAAATAGTTTTCAAAATGCAGCAGATGAGCTTTCAGGCTTCATTTATAGACAATAAGAAGCTAAGAGCTTACATTAGGAGCTGAGCTGATGTAACACTAATTAAATGTATATTATTATCCTTTACAGATACATTTATAAGAAGAGGGCAATAAGAAAGAGAAAGGCTTCAGACAGAGAGAGAACTGACTGAGAGGAAAGCTTAGGCCCTGGGCCATGACAGCCTGCTGGATGGATGACAGGTCACTGGCACTGTGGATCTCTAGGTAAGGAGGACTGCAGATACGCCAGTCTGTGAAATAGAATAGGAAAGGCTGTTGTTAACATCTACAAGCAGCAGTAAACTACAGTAATTAAACTATGAAGCTACACTTCACCTCGGAGTGAGTTGTGCAACTTGCTCATGATCCTATAGGAAGCAAAGCGGTCTAGGAGCCTGGTCATTGCAGGCAGAGGGTCCAGAAGAACTGTATTGGGATGAGTTGACACATAGCTCTGCAATGTAAAAGACAGAGGGGGAATTTCACTTTCACTTATCACTTTAAGCATGACTATTTGAAGCACTGAATTGCTAATCTCAAGCAAACATGTACCGCTCAGCCATAGTGCATAAACGGTCAACATTTCTCTATATAAAAGGCTTCACTACAGAATGTACAGACATATTTATTACTCTACTTATATTACATTTTTTCCAATTATGCCCACTTGGTAATCCGGCCTTGACTCTGCCAGCAGCAGCAATAACAATCCCCCCTCAACAGCCGCAAAAGACGTACTTCTCCAACCTTACCTGGAAGTTGGAAAGCAGCTGCTGCGATTGGCTGTCGTGCTCAGCCTCCACGATGACGTCAGACAGCTTGTGAACAATGACGTCGAAGGGTCCCTGGGGTACCAGCGGCTGAGTGAGGTCAATCTGCCACAGAAGAAGAGCAGTCCTTTACACCAACTTCAGGTGCTGAAAAATGAAGCCAACACGGAAGTGCCCAAAACTGCACTTCCTCCAACAGCTACTTAAGACTGGCTCAGAAAGCGAGTCAATCCCCATAGACTCCCATGTTAAAATGGCCAACTTTACAGAAGAAAAATAAAAAACAAACATGTTACAAACATATACAAAATTTTTTAAGTCTCTATAGCTAATTAACCCCTTCATGACACCTGCATAGGGGTGATTTTTTTTTTTATATAACTCACCATTTAAAGTTTATCAAGACTTAAAGTTATGCATAATTGAGGGCGTGGTCGCTTTAAATATCAGGTGGGTGCGTCACAGCCCGTTAGCCGTTAGCTCGGCGTCACTTCAGCTAATTCGAGTCACTAACGTGACCTCGTAGCCTGTTTATGGCGTCTTTGGAGGTCTTTTCAAGAAAATATCGGACAAATAATATGGCTTGCTTTGCGGTTAAGTGACTAACAGAACGCGAGGAAGTCTGTGCTCCCGTATTTTGAGGTGAGTTATATTTTAGCATTGTTTTTATTTATATGTTGTCACTAATTAGCAGGTATCGGTGTCTGTGCTCACCATACCTGGCTTGTTAGCTTAGCCCGTTAGCCAGCTAATTAGCCATCAAATGCCTTAGCCTTCTAGTAGGACGCCGACCTGTGCTAACAATGCTAGCGGGAGCTATGCTTGCCTTAAACCGGCATGTACCGAAGTTTTGGCTCCACACGTCCCACCTATTTGCCCATTTTTGAATTAGCCAGGAGTTAGGCTGTGTTGGGCACAGTCAAGATGGCGACAGCAAGAGGCCCGCTCTTAGCATAAAAACTGCTCTTCAAAACCTGTGGGTGAAGAGTTTATTATTTACATTTCTGTGTTGCCACCCACCAATTATAAATTATTTTTATTAGATCTTATCATAAATTGCCACCATAAATGTTTTAAAATGGCTAACCAACTCTCGTTTTGAGACAAAATATAATTAATTTAAATAATTTTTGACTCTTGTCTACTGTTAAAGAAACATTGTATTAGCAGGAAAAAACAGAGGTGTAAGTAATAACACTGATGAGACCTCTTTCTGTAAAACAGCAGGGCTCTGTCTACTGGCATGCCTACAGTAAATGGGCTACAGCATAATTAATTTTATTAGTGCCACCTGTTGTTTAACGAGACATGCTTTCTTCTGGGAGCTACTTTTCTGTATGTTTTAAACATTTACATTTTATGGAGCATGACTTTAAAGACCATGTTTTTTGTACCAGGAAAACATTTAAAGTAACTGCCCTAAATGATGCCACTTTGGGCAAAATAAAAAGGCCATAACAGTATAACATTTTTGTTGTAATATATTTGTTTTTTCTGTTCTTTCACACAGACTCTCTCTGCTTCTACTGAGTTATGGTAAGGGGTTTTCAACTTCTTTGCTTGCTCCTAAAAATGTACACAACCACAATGTACACCACTGCAGTTTTCACATCAATACTCTTTGCATAGCAGCTTATTTTTGTGAACTCATGAATCAACAATATTAAATGCAGCACAGAGGCTGCAATGATCTAATTTGTCCAAGTTAAACTTGCTGTTTTTTTGTGATATTTGTGCCTGCCTCTGATGACATATACAGAAACAGAATGTGGGGAAAGGTGAACTCGTCAATGCTCCTGTACAGATATCCACGTGCAGAGAAATGTCTCAGTAGGTACAATCAGGCAGCCATTGTTTGGGGCTGCAGGTGGCTGTGACATGGATTACTTAAGTTGTGGACATCTGCACATGACACGTGTGTGTGTCTGCGGGTGCACACCGTTCCCTTCTACTGTCACAGCTGTCATACTTTAACTATCTCTTCTTTAACAAACCTTTGTTAGACCTCTTGAATGAAAACACATCTTGCTATGTGTGTGGGTGTTATGGCATGTTCACGAATACATTCTCAGACATATTCATGCACGCACAGAGAGGCAGGAACACACACACACAGACACTCTCATATTGATTTTAGGTATATGTGAAGAAAAACACTTACCTCCACCACCTCCACCCCATGGGCCCTGCACGGAAAAAACTGAAATATTTATATTTTAACAATGATGGTTACACAATGGAGTTGGCAACGGACATGGACAGATTTTCATTGCTGTTGATAAAGAGTGAGGGTGTTGCCTCTTCTTACAACAGTTATTCTCAAACGTTCCCTAATTTAGATAATCTGTATTGTGCTCAAATAAAATGACATGAATATATTCCTCATTTTGTTGGGAGCCCCATTCACCTTTATTTACCAGAAAACTATAATACTCAAGGGCTCTAAATTAATTTAAAAAGTCCAAAGTCAACTTACGCACAGAAGTCTGCAAAAGCGCCAAGGTTCATCCTCCTGCGTTTCTTATCGCTGAGACAGAAGCCGACTCTGCGGCCCGACATTGGGCTGTGTGTCCGGGGGCCACCAGCAGCCAAATGACAGCAAAGATAGAGACGGGGAGGGGTGTGTGAATCGATGCCTCGCTCTTATCCATTCAACCCTCCCCCTGATATTTCTGCTGGTCTTTAAATCTAATCTTAGTGTCTTTTTAAGAAGTGGTCCTCTAGACTAATGTTAATAATCGCTCACGGGTAGAAACGGAGAGGGCCAGTCTAACTGGTAAAGTCACTTGACTTCCTTATTGTTGCCATCCGATAATTATGAGGAGTGAGGCCGGTCATGGAGCTGCACCTCACTGGCTGAGCAACAACTGAAACAGAAAGTAAAAGTCTCAGGGAAGTAGCTCCATTATTCTGCTTATCATTCAGCAGCACGGGCACGCCGTTTCCTCTCAACTAACCCTCGAAAAGAAAATAAACGTCGATTATTTCGGTAGATATAAAGATACATCAAGCCCCGTGAAGTTCATCTGAGGTCACGCCGAGGAAAAAAAAATGTCCCGCGGTTCAAACGCAGGTTTCGACCGACACATCACCATATTTTCACCGGAGGGCCGCCTCTACCAAGTCGGTAAGAGAAATATTTTCTCCGGTGTTTAAGATGATCCTGGAGCATAGTTATTGCACAGCACAAAACTGCTAATATTACAAGGCTCGCCATTGAAACACGTCATTCAAACAGCCCCACACGAACTTTATCATGCAGTTAAACTGGTTAGCTTCTCTTATCTTGTCAGTTAGCATCAAAATTTGGCCTCTAAGGTTTTACACTTCTTTAATATTTAAGCCTAAAGTTGTTTTTCAAACTTGAAGTTAGCTTAAACCTAAAGTTACACCGTAGAAAACTGAAGTTTTTTTAAGTTGTGGTGTATTTTGTTAACAACCTTTGTTTAGCATGTTGTGTACCTTCTTTTAGTGTTGGGGCCACACATATTATGTTTTTGTAAATTTATCTTAATTATACTTAAGTTTTGTTAGTGAAGGGGCAAATATACTGTTACATTAAAATTTTGTATTGTATTTCATTTTCCTCCATCTATATGTCACATGTGCTGTCCTGCAGAGTATGCTTTCAAAGCCATCTCCCAGGGCGGGCTGACGTCTGTGGGGATCCGGGGGACAGACAGCGTTGTGGTGATAACACAAAAGAAAGTGCCTGTAAGATGTTACACACAATTACACACACATACACTCACAGACATTCACTTGGATACTGATGATCGGGGTTGAATGGAAACAGTGAAGCATGACCGAGTCATGACTCCAGTGTTTTGCTGACTTGACAGAGAAATATCTGAACAAGATACTGCTGTAATAATGCTAATACTCATATTACCAAGCCAGAGACTAATTTAATTTTGGCAGAACAAAATCAAAATTTTGTGATTTGGGCATTCCCTCTTTATTTCACTGTCTGATCATCCTAATCAATGATGTTAGTGAACCTAAATATGCCCAAAGTTGATCCTGATTTATTTGTCGTAATGATTCATTCATCATCATTACATTTATAGCAAGATGTTGCCAAATACTTTTATTCAAAACTGTATGTAAAGTGGAATTTGCTTTAAGGGAGACTTCAGGTCCCATCTAAAACACATGTATCTGATTTGCATATAATATTTATACTAGCAAATACAATACCTTTGCAGTCAGTTAATCAGATTAAAGACTAACCTATACCATAGTTCCCTGGTAAGTGTATTGCTGCCTCTGATTTATATTGTTGTAAGGACTGTTAATATTTTTTTCATGTATGCTGAAATATTCATGCTTGTTAGCGCAACATAATTTTTGTAAGGTGGATGTGAGACTGTGACGTTTCTGAACTGCAGGACAAGCTGCTGGACTCCACCACTGTGACCAACATGTTCAAACTGACCCCTCGCATTGGCTGTGTGATGACTGGACATAATGGTATGTATTCGACACACACACACACACACACACACACACACACAACACAACACCTCATTACTAAATAACTGTGATACTCATCACATTTGCTCATGGACATACACACACAGATCTGATTTAATATTTTTTTTTTTTTTTTTTTTTTAAAGAAAGCCACATGTTGTGTGTTTAATGGTCCCACCTCTTCTGTCTTGTGCAGGGGACAGTCGTTCTCAGGTCCACCGGGCGAGGGTGGAAGCAGGAGAATGGAAATACAAGTTTGGTTATGACATCACCGCAGACGTGTTGTGTCGGCGGTTGGCTGATATCTCCCAGGTCTACACTCAAAATGCTGAGATGAGACCACTAGGCTGCTGTGAGTGAACTTGTCCATCCCGCTCTTCAGCAGAAGATTCATAATTGTTAAATCTGAGTTTTCTTTCTTTCTGATTTTTCTTGCCAGAAGTTTTACCATAAACTTCTTTTCCTTGTGTTGCATTCTGAATGTACATACTGAAGTGTAAGCATGCAAGGAATCATTAAAGGATGTCTTCACATACACTGATTGCAGGGAATATTAGAGAAATCTCACTTTAATGACTTGCAGCAGATTTTCCTATATTTATTCCATATCTTCTTACACTTTTCTCTGACTGTGCCTCACCCCCACTCTTCCTCTTCCTCATCTTCTCTTCTCCCAGGTATGATGATGGTGGCTATTGACCCCCAGCAGGGACCTGTCCTGTATAAATGTGACCCGGCAGGCTACTACTGTGGCTTCAGAGCCACAGCAGTCGGGGTCAAGCAGACGGAGGCCAACAGTTACCTGGAGAAGAAACTTAAGAAGAAGCCTGAACTGACACTCGACAGGACAGTGCAGGTGGAGTGAACTCTAATGAATTGGGCTGTGTAAATAAAACATGTCATGAATTATTGGTATGATACAAATCTTTGGTCCAAGGAAGCGTAGAACAGCTCTGTGTCTTAATGAAGTGTCCTTTAACAAAACAATGAATCGGTATCTGCTCACTCACTATACATATTTTAAATATAATAAAAGAAAAGATAAATATATCATAGGAAAAGTTAAAGGTGACTTGCTGTTCTAGAAGATGTTTCTTCACGGACGTAGCTGGTGGTCAGACTTGTAGGTCAACCAGAGAACTTGAACTCTAATTTGTTACCGAGGATATCATCCCATTATTCATAAGATGATCTCCAGATCTACATACTTCTGCCACTGTGTCTATAACATACTGCTTGGCTCTCCTTTTAGTGTTTCATTGATTATCCTTGATGATGTTTGATACCTTGGAATTGTCTAAATACCTTTTTTAAAGTTGAATCTTAATTATAAAGTGTTGAATGTAATTGTTTGTCCTTTTATCTTCATCAGAGTGTGAATATTTCAGCAGATATCTGTGAGGATGTTTTTCATGCCTTTTTATAGTCATGTTCAGGGTGACTCCATTGTTGCAGCGTCTCATGTTGAATTGTCGGTAGTTTCTATAATATGCTAGTGTAATTTTCTGGTCACCCTCTTGTAACCATGCTCCCCCTTGTGTTTCCAGTTGGCTATATCCTGTCTAGGCTCTGTCCTGTCTATGGACTTCAAGGCCAGTGAGCTGGAGGTCGGCATAGTCACCAAAGACAAACCTAAGTTCAGGTAACTTGAGTCACTCTTGCCCTGTCAAATAGTCAGGATTTACTGTATATCGAACATAACTAAACTAATTATCTTTAGGTGTAACTTTGAGTATATTGAGACTTTTTGCATACATATTTTTAGTCTCATACTGTTTTGTTTATACAGTATCTTAGTCTCAGGGGAGCTAATGCGTTTGAATAGATCAGAAAGTTCATGTGATTGACACATTAGTTTATTTTGAAGGACTTCACATGGCCATATCTAACTTGCGCTTACTTTCTCGTTCTGTTATCTGTCTTACATCACTCCCTGTTCACTCTTTGCTTTTGCTTTTTCCTATGGTTTTTACTGTCATCATCTCCATCAAATCTTATCTGTCCTGTAGGACGATGTCGGAGGCAGAGATAGAAACCCACCTTGTCGCCATAGCAGAACGAGAGTAAAGGTGCCTTCATAAGCATCAGGTTAACCATGCACAGATGAAGAAGGAACTGATGTAGGTCTGATTCATACTGATGTACCAGATATTTCCAATGGGCTTTTTCTAAATTCAATATACTGTAGGAATGTGATGTTTAAATTCTGATCAGACACATTAAGCCATCTGCAGATTATGACAACCTTTACTTTTGCTGAGATGTGTACAGAATATTTGTCATACAGCTTAATTTAACACTGTATGTGTATAACCACCACTACCCTTGTAAAACTGCAATAAAAGTGTCCATCTGTGTCATTGTCAGCCCCTTTTGAAATAACTGTCGTAATAAAATAGAATAGAAAATGTAACTGGAAACATTGTGCTGTTTTGCTTTAGATTAAAGTCTTTGATAACTGAAATGGATGAATACTTTAAATTTATGTCCCAGATTTTGCTAAACTCTGTCCTGATTAAACAACATTCCCCTTGTTGAACAGCAGATGGTATCAGTGAGGTGATTATGTTAGCTGAGGTCTGCATCTGTTATTGGCTGGTGGCAGGTCTGTTTTCTGGTCTAGAGGATGGGATGGGGACTGAATCTACAATTTATTCCACCAGATTATATTCTTATGGAAGTAGCAGCAATAATAGTACTATTTCTTATTTTTTTGATTAATAATCAATCATGTCGCAATGCATGTGGCATGTCTTCATCTATGTGGTGTTTGTCATGCATCTATTCTATGTCTCTATATGACCACTAGATGGCAATGTTGTGCCTGCTTCTAACTTCATCTGAGCATTTCATAACAGAATGCAAAGTTTCTGTGTGTACCTTTCTATTTAGGGAAACCTATTTTGACTTGTGTAAACAATTGCACTTCCGAGTCTTCGGAGATTGCGTGTGTGTGTCAGACAGCCAACCTTGGCATGACATCTTATGCTCAGAGTGACGCGTCCGTCACTCTGAGTTTCCACCACAGCGACCAGTCTGGGGATACGGATCACTGTCCATTTCAATTATTGAATGTTACTGGCAGTCTGAATGCGTACGGAGAATGACAGAGAACAACAACATGAGTCTTCTTCTCTTTTATTAAAACCAAAAGGTAACACATTGTAGTTAAATATGCTCACAGAGCTTGATTACTTTTCAGGGTTGACATTACATCACATTAAATTTTTATTACATTTAAAAACAATATTAC